CCCTAAACCCGAAACCCTCAAGGCCCTGCAACCTTAAACTATTCAATAGTTAAAAAAGAAACTCGTCGAAACTTTCTCCACGAAGCTCCTCGAAAATTCCTCGGACCTGAACCCTTAATAATTTCAAGAAGCCCCAAACATCCCAAAACCCTAGCAAGGCTGGCAGCCCCAAACCCTCAACCGCTGAAACCCCTAAACCCCTTTGCGCCCCAAACCCCCTCCAACTTATTGTTGGTGAGTAAGGAAATGAGGGAAGAAGGTACCCTGTGTAGTCCCTTAAAGGGTATATATAGGGGGGCATAGTAATCCCTTAAAGGGTATATGGGATTTAGGGTACCTCATATACCTCATGCCCTCATTCCCTACAAACCCAACAGTAATGCCAAAGGCCTGCGAGAGCTGCAGCCTGGCGTCCTGGGCTGTGGTCGGCACCTCCTTGATTTTTGAGAACTCTTTTCAAGGGGTTTAGGGTTTGGGTTTGGGGGTTTAGGGGTTTAGGGGTTTAGGGGTTTCGGGGTTTCGGGGTTTCGGGGTTTAGGGTTCAGGGGTTTAGGGTTTAGGGGTGTAGGGGTTTAGGGCTGTTTCACAACACAGCGGTTTAGGGCTTAGGGTTTAGGGACAGCCTTGCGAGGGTTTTGGGACGTTTTGGTTTTGGCGTTTGCGTACTCCAGTTCTCCCGAAGCCAGGTCAACCAACCGTTACTTCGCGGCTTGTGTTCTTTACGTAGTCGCCACTTTCATGGTTTCAATTCCCTAAACCCTAAACCCTAAACCCTAAACCCTAAACCCTAAACCCTAAACCCTGAATGCGGAATTGCCCGGAAAACCACTGCTAAACGATGACGAGGTGCAGTTTAACGAAAAAGAGCCAGGAGAGGCAGCACCTTCTGCTCCCATACTGGTCAGAGCGTAGGCGTAGGCGCAGCCTTAGACCCTAAACCCTAAACCCTAAACCCTAAACCCTAAACCCTAAACCCTAAACCCTAAACCCTAAACCCAAAAACCCTAAACCCTAAACCCTAAACCCTAAACCCTAAACCCTAAACCCTAAACCCGAAACCCTAAACCCTAAACCCTAAACCCTAAACCCTAAACCAAACCCTAAACCCCTCCCAGCCTCCACAAAGGAGACGACGCAAGCTCGGAGGTGTGTCCAGAGTGGTCGCTAATCGACGGCACCCTGGCAAGAGAAGATCACGTTCAGGGTTCTGAAGGGGGGGTTGATGGGGGGGGGTATGTACCTAGGGAACCTTAAGGAAGCTTAAGGGTTACAAACCCCCCCCCCCCCCTCCTAGGGTTTAGGGTTTAGGGTTTTGGGTTTAGGGTTCAGGGCTTAACCCCCCGAAGAACCCTCTAAGCATGGTCCTGGTGCCCTCCTTGGAGCTTCTGGCATTGGTTTTAGGATCTTGTCTGTCCTTCCTGCTACACTTGTTAACCCTGAACCCTGAACCCTGAACCCTAAACCCTAAACCCTAAACCCTAAACCCTAACCCTAAACCCTAAACCTTGCCAGAGCCTCAGTCCATGCTTAAAAAGCAAGGGTTCTGGGGTTCTGGGTTGGGATGTCTCCCCTTATACTGCCAGTCCTTCATAGGGATGATCATAGGGGTATTGCAATATCGAAGGACTGTTAGTATAAGGGGGACATCCCAACTGACTTTCTGTTCGTGACTGCTAGTGCATCCAGTGTGCTTGGGCTTCTGGCTGCCCGTATATGAAGCAGGGTACATATTTCTGTTTCTGGTGAGTGTATATAAGGTCCTTTTTAATATTGGTGAGTGTATATACCTGGTGACCCTTTGGGGAAGAAATATATACCCTACTTCATATCAGGCTTCTCAGGCTTCTTGTTCCGTCATAGCACGTAGGGGCAGGAGCTTTGATCCATGCCGTACGCTTGGCATGTCCCTCACGACCTATACAGTTTGTGTAATACACATCATATCATATCATATCATATCATATCATATGTTACTTGTTGCTCTTTGTGTTTTAAATAGACCAATACATTTGTGTACTGTTGATATTGTGTATTATACATATTATGTATACTATTGCCATCGTACCCATGTATATATACATATATATATATATGTATGTATGTAGTATGTATGTATGTATGTATGTATATATATATATATATACATACTTATGTTCTCGAACACACACACACACACAACACTCCCACGATGGAGGGCAGTGTGGAGTAGAAGGTAGAAGCGGCACCTGCCCCTGAACCCTCACTCTGAACGTTATTGTGCCTGCGCGCGGCCCTCGATTCGCGTTTTTTTCTGCACACACCTCTTCTTTCCAAACAGAATGTATAAGACATTGCATAGAGCATCCTTAGTATATTTCCCATACCATGCATTTTGAGTATAGTACATACTGTACAGTTTTATGAAACCATGTATCAATGTATTACAAAAGATATAAACCAACGTTTCATAAAGACTAGACACACCTTTCATCTACAACACGCAAACTATCGAATCTGTCCAACACTTTGCCATGCACGATGTCTGGCCTGTCTGCCTTTCAAATATAACATACACACGATGTGCACAACGACACTATGCATAGCAAATAGGATCGCACACACACGTATATAAGTATATATGTGCAGACATTGCATTCACAATATGTATGTGTATGTGCCACTATTAGTGAACACTATCTCTTTCATGACAGGTAAGATCAAACAGATACTACTCGTTCACTTATGCTCTCTCGTTTATAATCAATAGTGCAAATTATGAATTTGTCAAAATATATGTATTTAGTACTCAGTGCATAATGTATAGAGTAGTTCTTTCGACCGCAATGCTGCGCGCCTCCTCCTATGTAGTTCCCAATGGGAACCTTCATGTCTTTCCTGAGCCTAGCTTCAAACCTTTAGCCCTCCTGTACTCAACTTGTCATTCTGACCTGACCCGGAAGTTCTGCATTCATTCAGGTGTTTTTGAGATGTCAGTTTGCACACATGTCGGACTCCAGTGCTACGTTTGTGGCCGATCCAGCCAACCCTTGAAGGAAGGAGCCCAGGCATACTACTGAACCCAGCTTGACGTCCCAGGCACGCACGTGGAGGAGCCGGGCAGTGAGAGCTTGGAGCAGCTGTTGCTGAAGGCAGGGCGAGTTGAGGTTTTGGTCATCATATGAGGATAGTTGTAAACGCTGGCATGCGCCACCTCGGCAGCCGGGCCAAGCCACGCGACGCGCATGTCGACGGTCCAAGCGGTGCACTTCGGAGTTGCCATTCCACACGGTCAGGTTGCAGCTATGGAAGCCGACCACGGGTCGAGGAGAAAGGGCCAGTAAACCCAAAACGTTGCACCAGCAGCGCAAGTGAGCTTACTTGCAGGTTGCCCGGGGGTGCCAGAGAGGGTATCCGAGGGGGCCCCAGGGTCCCAGAATCCCAGGAAAAAGTCCAGCGGTCTTGGGGAACCTCATCCCACAAGATCAGGTTTTTTGGCTCCACCCTCTGCGGGAATCGCTCTGTCGGGGCGAGGTTTTTTGTCGTGGGCTTCCGAGAGCTGCGGGGTTTAGGGTTTAGGGTTTAGGGTTGAGGGTTTAGGGTTTAGGGTTTAGGGTTTAGGGTTTAGGGTATCTCCAACAACTTGGGGAGCCCGAAGCCCTAAACCCGAAGCAGGGCGATGAAGAAGGATGGTTCCGGGACTTGCTGACAAACCTTTGTTATCAGAGTCCTCAGGGAAACCCGGTTTAGGGTTTAGGGTTTAGGGTTTAGGGCTCCCCGAAAGCCGCCCCCCAAAGACCTCTGCGAAGCAGGTGGTTGGGCCGCTAAAGATGCCCCTTTGGCCGGCGCAAAGGGTTTGTTGGAGTGTGTATGCGTCGTTTAGGGTTTAGGGTTTAGGGTTTAGGGTTTAGTCGTCTTACATAGGGTTTGGCTTAAATCAAGCAGGGGCCCAACCCTAAACCGCTCCAGGAGAAAGAAAGGCCCTTGGGAACTCTACAGGGGTTTGGGACTCGGGCAGTTTAGGGTTTAGGGACCCCGCGAGTAGAGCAGGCACCCCCTAAATTCGAAGAAGAAGCTCTGTAAATTCGGGGACCCCCTCTTTGGGTCCTATACTATCGTACGGCACCCTTAAAAAAAGTGCCCCCAAAAAGGACCCCTAGTTTAGAGAGCGACCCGATACACTTATAGAACTGTGAAAATGGATGAGCACATCCCACATCATGTATGCATCTTACACTTACAATACTACCCTTATGCAATAGGTTTAAACTTTCCAAAGGCCCCTATAGACGGCCCGCAATTTTTCACGGCACCTGAGAAGTTCTTGCGCCGACCCAAAAGCAGGGAAGCTTCCCCTGACCCTACAAAGGGCCAAAGGGTGGAAGGTTTCCACGAGGGTGAGAGAGGAAGGGGCCCCCTTTTGCCTCTAAACCCTAAACCCTGCACCCTGAGCATCCCTGAACCCTAAACACTAAACCCAAACCCTACACTCTGAACCCTAAAGCCTAAACCCCACCCCCACACCCTAAACCCTAAACCCTATAGTCGTTACAGTTCGTCGACTCGTGAAGTGAAGGTAGGATGGGGACATGAGCGACGGGGACACTCCATAAAGGACGGGCGGTTGGAAACCCGAGGCTCTCTCCTTTTTTTGTTTTCGTGTTATATCTTTTTTTTTGGCTCTCTCTGTGTCTATCTGTGTCTATCTGGGCTTCGGGTTTACGGTTTAGGTTTAGGGTTTTCGCTCTCCCTCTCTCCCTCTCTCTTTCTTTCGGTCTTGATGGCTTCTGGAAGTGATAGAAAGAAGATTCGCGCTCTAGTACATAAATCGGATCATGAATCCTTCAGGTTCAGAGTTGATCCCGGGGTGTTTGGGTTGAGCCGCTCGATGGCCTTGCAGTGCCGAAGCCTTCAACACGCGCTCACCCGAATGACCAGATCCGAAAGCCCACAGCCATTTTGGCTTGACAGGACATCATCTCATCGGTGTGGGTCGGTCACAGGTTTTACCCTACGCTCGAGCTATGTCCACAAAGTTGGGTTGGTGCGCCGAGCACATGCTGGTGGAGGCGTCGCCTGCGGCGGTGGTGCCGAGCCACTCTGCCCCGCCTTCGCCACAGGCCTCGAATCCCAAGGCGGAGCCTTCTGAGCTCGGGATGCCAGAGAAGCCGAATTTCTTGGGTGACTCCCATGAGATGGGGAAGAAGCTCGTCGAGGGCCTCTTGCAGGATGATACTACGACCATCATGCTCCGCAACATCCCCAATCGATACACCTACGAGGCTCTCCTGGCGGAGATCCTTGCAGCGGGGTTCGAGCACATGCCCTTTGATTTCTTCTACCTTCCCAGGGATTTCAACACCAGGATGAACCGTGGATATGCCTTCATCAACTTCCACTCCCCTGAGGCGGCTAAGGAATTCGCCCTGGCCTTTCATGATCGTCAGCTCAGCCGCTACCCTACGAAGAAGGTGTTGGAGGTGGCTCCTGCGGCGACGCAGGGCTATGAAGCGAACATGTCCAAGTACTTCAAGAAGGGTTCCAAGCACGTCAGGAACGACTGGTTCAAGCCCATGCTCTTCCCGAAGCCTGGCGATTAGGCTTGCCACGCGCCATGCACGCATAATTTGCAGCGTCCGGTTCCACAGCTTCTGTGCTTGGGGGGGGTCCACCACGCAGGGCCGGCATAGAAAACAAGCAGCTCACCAAGGACCAGACTCCTTGGCTACGGCATCTTTCAGTCTCCAGGGTTTTGGAGTTTAGGGTATGGGGTTTAAAGCTTAAATAGGATCCAAGTATGACTGAATGACGTTTCTTTGGCTAAGGGGGTGATTGGGGAGGATGAGGTTGGGTGATGTGGCTGGACCCCTGGCTCCTCCTCTTTAGAGCCCACAGGCTCTACTTCATGTGCACCATCACCTCTTCAGCATGCAAAGCACCTGTGACGGCCTGTGGTTTAGGGTTTAGGGTTTCGGGTTTAGGGTTTAGGGTTTAGGGGCCCCTATTTCGTTCCTCTCCAGTTCCTGGCATGCTGAAAAGGGACTCACAGCAGATGCTGAAGCGAGGACGCGGGTTTCTGACAGCAGTAGCAGAAGAAAAGTCTGTGAGCTCCGCCCTAAGACCCTAACCCCAAACCCCAAACCCCAAACCCTAAACCCTAAACCCCAAACCCCAAACCCCAAACCCTAAACCCTAAACCCTTAACCGCGCGCGGTTGCTTTGCCTCCGTTGCCTCCGCGTTGCAAGTCGACCATGAACCGGAAATCCATAAAGCTACAACCCACAAAGTCCCAAGCCATCCAAGGTTCTGGTTTAGGGTGTAGGGTTTAGGGTTTAGGGTTTGGGGTTTAGGGTTTAGGGTTTAGGGTTTGGGGTTTAGGGTTTAGGGTTTAGGGTTTAGGCATGAAATCCCAACCCTACCATGTTTCTGAGATGCCAACACTTGTGTTCAACGCCACAAAGGGCGCCCTTGTTACTCCTGCAATCCCTCCCCCCCCGAATATTCAACCCCCCCTCCCCTTACCCCTTAGTATAAAATACTCCCAATTACATATTAGAATATGTGGGGCCGGGGGGTATTTAATATTCGGGGGTAGGGGGGGGTTGAGTTTTTTTTGGGGGAGGGGCGTAAGCCCAATTCCTTGAAGCCCTCCCTTAGGAACGGCATGGACTACTCCCAGATCAGCTTCCTGATGGGTGCAGCTTGGACCTCTCCAGGGCTTTAGGGTTTGGGATTGTAGATGGCCGTAGAGTCTGAGGAGACATCCCTAAACCCTAAACCCTAAACCCTAAATGATGGCATGTCATGGTACACTGCATCCCCCGGAGGCACTCAGCCTCCCTTCAGTACAGGGTTCTGAGGTGTGGGCCCTTCGGTGTCATAAACCCTAAACCCTGAACCCGAGACAGTCACGGGAAACGGTCAACCTCCCCCCCACCCCCGCACTGAAGGAACGGTCATGGGAGATCCCCCCAGGAAATGGTCACGTGCACTGGTGGTCCGAGGGTGGGGTGGGGTGACTCCAGGGAAACGCTCCGTAACAAATTAAGTGGCGTTTCTTTTTTTGAAGGGGCAATGCTCCGTACCAAAGAGCTCCCCCCCCTTATGAACCCTGTAAGGAGTGGGTGGACTCCCTCGGCCACTTCGTGAAGGTCGTCGCCACGAGCGAGAACAGCGCCCGGGCCCGGCGGGAGCTCTGAAAACCATACGCAGGGTTGAGCGTCCACAAGCAGGGTTTAGGGTGTAGGATGTGGGGTTTAGGGTTTAGCGTTTAGGGTTTAGGGCCCCCTTAACTGCCCTATAAATCCTAAGCCCGAAGCCCCTGAAGAGGCCTGCATCTCCTGGGACCACTCTGGCCAATACCTCGCCAACCTCTGGAAAGCGACCCTCAAGGCCAAGCAGCTCCAAGACTGGTTGTACTTGGGAGGTTCATGGCACTTCTGAACCAAGTGCTGGGTTTAGGGTTTAGGGTTTAGGGTTTAGGGTTTAGGGTTTAGGGTTTAGGGTTTAGGGTTTAGGGTTTAGGGTATAGGTTAACTGTACTTGTAGCCCAATTGCAAGCCCCTTAGCTGCCCAAATATGGTTAGACTTGCGTTGCAGGTACAGCTATCATTGGGTTAAAAAGGTACCCTGAACCTCCAACTAACCCTGATGGGTTTGAGGTATAGGTGTCTAGGGCTTCGGCCACAACAAGTGTTTAGGATTTGGGTAACCCTGAAACCCAAGTGTATGGTTTCTAGTTTCATCCCTAGACCCCAAACCCTAAACCCTTTGTTCGCCATGGGGGTGAGAGCTGATGCCATGGTGCTTCGGCATATGCATCTTGGCTATGGGGTTTCTTGCAACGTTCTGGCCGCGGTCCCCAGATTCAAGGAGGGACTCAGGGTTTAGGTTTTCGGGTTCAGGTTTTCGGGTTCAGGTTTTTCTTGGGAAAAGGGTTCAGGTTTTAGGGTTGAGCATGGGGTTTAGGGTTTAGGGTTTCCCGAAAGACTTTCTCATGCAGGTTCAGCGCGACGAGGAGGGGCACTGGACATGCGGCCCCTCTGGCACACGCTTCAGAGATGTGGCGGTTATGATAGTAGGGGCACCTTGTTGGGATCCTGTTGATAAGGGGATCCTACTGTAGTCAAAATGAGGGGTCCCTCATTTTCGTAAACCCCCATGTTTCTTCTACATGATTAGCCCCCTAAACTCTAAACCCTGAAATGACGTGGAAAGTTCCCTTTGTAGAGCTGAGATAAGGTTGTAGCCCGTTCCAACTACATCCCAAACCCTGAACCGCTAAGGCAACGGGCGCTTGACGTCTGCGTCCGTCGGCCGCCTCTGCTGGCAGCGCAGTGGTGGCGAATGCGACCCGCGTGGAACATGCTGGGTTAATACTAAACCGAAAGGACATGTCTTCCTAGACATCCTTCATAGGGACTATAGTACCCCCCTATTGTACTCCCTATTAAGGACTGCTAGCATAAGGGGGAACATCCCAAGTCTCTGTTCTCTTGGGCTTTGTGTCTGAGGCACCGAATGGATCCGGCGTTTTCCGGCCTCCTCCGCCTTTCTGTCCGCCTACGTGACGCGGGGGCCTCGGCGTAAGGACTTGGGGAGCCCGCGGACGCCTACTTGGAGGTTCAGGGTTAGGGTGTCGGGTTTCGGGTTCAGGGTTTTTGGGTTTAGGGTTTAGGGTTTAGGGTTACAGGTTATGAGTCGCCCTAACCCTCAACCCCACACCCTAAAACTCTAAACCCTAAGTGCCCATGAACCTCCAAGTCGTGGCGAGGGGTGCGGGGTTGCGCGCAATTCGCCCACACAGAGGCGGAGTTTCAATAACGAAATGGCAACCAGAAAACCAAAAGTGGTTTTCTTGTTCTGTGGTTTAGGAGCGGGAAAGGAATTCAGAGAGAGAAAGAGAGAGGGAGGACGGGCAGGAGATGGCCCTGGAGGCTTCTAGGGGTCCCTCGCCTGGAGTTTAGGGTATTGTGACACTGCTAGGCGCCTCTCAGGGGGTGTGCCCTGGTCTCGCTGTACGCTCGACCTTCCGTGTGACTCCGTGCTCCACGCATTTTGAAGTGTCCAAGTCTCACATGGAATGGTTTTGGCTTGGTTTTGGCTTGGTTTGGGCTGGCTCCAGTTTGGGTTCGTGATGAGTAGGCCTTGGGGTGGGCATGTCTGCACACTATTGCGCTCAGCTGCCCTGCTACACCCCAAAACCCCAAACCCTGAACCCTGTGGCAAAAAAGTCCCTGAGCTCTAAACCCTAAACCCTAAACCCTAAACCCTAAACCCTAAACCCTAAACCCTAAACCCTCAACCCTAAACCCTGAACCCTACAATCTGGGTGCAGGCCGCAGAAGCCCGATTCGAAGCCTCGCGGCGCTCGGCGAGGCAGCTCAGGGTTTGGGGTTTGGGGTTTAGGGTTTAGGGTTTAGGGTTTAGGGTTTAGGGTTTAGGGTTTAGGGTTTAGGGTTTAGGGCAGCATCCTGATTCCCGGCCGACTCCTCCCCAAGCCCGGATGCAAAAAAAAAAGGGTTTAGGGTTTCAGGGCTTGGGGATTAGGGTTTAGGATTTGGGGTTTGTAGGGTTGAGGGTTCAGGTTTAGGGTTTAGGGTTTAGGGTTTCAGGGCTTGGGGATTAGGGTTTAGGATTTGGGGTTTGTAGGGTTGAGGGTTCAGGTTTAGGGTTTAGGGTTTAGGGTTTAGGGTTTTAGGGCTTGGGGATTAGGGTTTAGGATTTGGGGTTTGTAGGGTTGAGGGTTCAGGTTTAGGGTTTAGGGTTTAGGGTTTAGGGTTTAGGCTTTAGGGCTTGGGGATTAGGGTTTAGGATTTGGGGTTTATAGGGTTTAGGGTTCAGGTTTAGGGTTTAGGGTTTAGGGTTTCAGGGCTTGGGGATTAGGGTTTAGGATTTGGGGTTTGTAGGGTTGAGGGTTCAGGTTTAGGGTTTAGGGTTTAGGGTTTAGGGTTTAGGGTTTAGGGTTTTAGGGCTTGGGGATTAGGGTTTAGGATTTGGGGTTTGTAGGGTTTAGGGTTCAGGTTTAGGGTTTAGGGTTTAGGCTTTAGGGCTTGGGGATTAGGTTTTAGGATTTGGGGTTTATAGGGTTTAGGGTTCAGGTTTAGGGTTTAGGGTTTAGGGTTTAGGCTTTAGGGCTTGGGGATTAGGGTTTAGGATTTGGGGTTTATAGGGTTTAGGGTTCAGGTTTAGGGTTTTAGGGTTTTTGGGTTTAGGCTTTAGGGCTTGGGGATTAGGGTTTAGGATTTGGGGTTTATAGGGTTTGGGGTTCAGGTTTAGGGTTTAGGGTTTAGGGTTTAGGCTTTAGGGCTTGGGGATTAGGGTTTAGGATTTGGGGTTTGTAGGGTTTAGGGTTCAGGTTTAGGGTTTAGGGTTTAGGGTTTAGGCTTTAGGGCTTGGGGATTAGGGTTTAGGATTTGGGGTTTATAGGGTTTAGGGTTCAGGTTTAGGGTTTAGGGTTTAGGGTTTAGGCTTTAGGGCTTGGGGATTAGGGTTTAGGATTTGGGGTTTGTAGGGTTGAGGGTTCAGGTTTAGGGTTTAGGGTTTAGGCTTTAGGGCTTGGGGAATTAATGGGTTAGGATTTGGGTTTTTTAGGGTTGA